TTAAAAAAAAAAAAAAAAAAAAAAAAAAAACTATTTCACCCATTAAAATTTGAAATACCTAGGGCCAAACGGGGCTATGTACCTAAAAGGACTGCCAGAAAAGGAATTATTTTTGGAAAATGGAGCACATACATGCATATTAAAGCATTTACTGATACAATATTTGCTGGATCTATAAATGATGAAAGATCAGCCTCAGGATATTGTACATTTCTAGGAGTTAATTTCGTGACTTAGAGGGTTAAAAAGCAACCACGTGTGCAGAGGCCGAGTTTAGAACAGTTGCTCATGGTGTGTGTGAGCAGTTGCGATTAAATTGCTACTTGAGGAACTAAAACCATTGCCTGCTCGCATGAAGTTGTATTCTGACAAAACATACATTCCACTAATATAGGTTGCAATCCAAAACAGCATGAGTGAACAAAACATGTTAACGTAGGCCATCGCTATAACGAGGAGAACTTAAATAAAGGTCTAATATCTATGCAATTTCTTTCTATTGAAAAGCAATTGATAGCAATTCTCACGAAGGATTTGTCTATACTGTCCTCTTCAAATTCGACAGGCAAGCTGGAAATAGTATGCATCTTTGAACCGGCTCGAGGGAGAATGTAAAATAATCAAAGTTATTTAATTATTAGAATTTGTACATAGTATTTAGTTCTGTTACAACAGATTGATTTTTTATTTTGAAGGATTTTATGTTCTACATATGACTTTTCAATTTCTATAGATTTCAAATGTATACTTATAAGGGTCTTCCCTCTTAAATGGAGAGCATATATGAATTACTCTCTCTATGAGATTGCTGTTCAATGACATATAGCAAGGTGCAAAAAAAAATCCATTTCAAAGCTTCCAAGTAGATAGTCAGGCAAACCTAATAATTTCTTGGCCCAAGGAAGTATCATACCTTGATATAGCAACAAGGAAGAGGAGGACCAACACGCCCAACAGATGTGTCATCCGACTCAGAGAAAGTAGCACCAGCACATGTTTCTGTCAGACCATATCCTTGACCAATAGGGGCCCTGCAGAACATTGGTAGAGACACAAATGTAAAAGCCATTTTCTAAATTCATAGATGAACAATATCCATGACTGAGAATGAGCAGACTATAATTTCATAAAAATTTACCCCATACAGATGTTGATGAATCTTTGTGTATCTCCAGATAAAGGAGCTCCGCCACAAAGCATGAATCGAATTTCTCCTCCAAGAATAGACCGTATCTTCTTAAAAATAATTATATCCCACAAGAATGTCTCTAATCCCCATGCCCCAAACCAGCTCCCTCCAATAGCTGCCAGTCGCCGAGAATAGGCGATGTTGAAAAGCTTCTTAGAAAAACCTCCTTTCTCATCAACCTATGACAGAAAAATGTAAAATACAATAGTGCTGATACCAAATAATATATTTTGTAATATTAAAAAGGCAAATTTTCAAATTGCCACTAGGAACCTTCTTCAAAACTCCATCTCGAACACGGTCTAGAATAGCTGGAACAGCTGCCATTAGAGTAGGCTTTAATGCGGAAGCGTCTCCCTTAGTTCCTTTTTTTATTTTATTGGATGTGTCTGTTAATGTCAATGTTGACCCATAGCCAATTGCAGCACCAGCAGTTAGCATCACGGTCTGGAGAACCATCACACATGTTAGAACTTAAAGCATATTCATCATTGACCATGAAAAAAATTTCATTTAGTTTTACCTCAGCAGCTAATTCAAATACATGAGCTAGAGGCAAATATGCCAAATAAACATCCTTGCTTCCCATTCGAGGGATCACTGTCATAACTGCAGCTGCAGTGGCCACAATGTTGCCATGAGTTATCATAACACCCTACAAAATCAAGTAGTGAAATACATAAAGTTAAAAGAGAAGCCCATTCAGGAGAAGAATATATCACAGAGTTGAAGTGCAGATGACCCAAAAGTAATAGGAAACTGTAATAGATGCTGTCCTAAAGGTTGATCGATGTTATCCATCAATTACATCTGAATATAACTATTCTGAAAAAGCATAAAACCTTCTTCATTTTCAATGTCCTAAAGGTAACTCCTTCAAAAGGAAATATACTAGAGCACATGCTTCAACGTCCTTATTGCAAGGAACGAAAAAAAGGTAATCAGATATATGTATATACGTAAATTAAGATATTTTTCTGCATTTTGAAGCTGGATGACCTTTCAGTTGGCAACCTGAATTGGTAATAGCTGACTCTATCAATTACCAAGATCTGACAGGCATACCTCAAGATTTCCACCAAAGATGGGATTCTACCTATGCATGCAGCATGCAGTAGATGACATTCGATGTGTATGTCTATGCATGAAATGAGAAGCGCAGTCAAACCTTTGGGAGGCCTGTACTGCCACTTGTATACATGATGACAGCAATATCTGTCTTGATTGGAAGTCTAGGTTGAACAGAACTATCTCTACCAAGTTTTTCCACTTCTGAAAAAGAGGAAATTCTCCAATTATCCATATCTTGGTTAACACTGGAACTACTCGAAGTTTCTTCATCATCAAAGTATATGACATTTCTAATAGTTTTCAGGCTTGAACTTATGGCAGCCAACTTCTTCAATTGCTTAGATTCACAAACCAAGGTTGGCACTTGAGTCTGTCAAATATTAGAGACAAAAAGTTGTAGTCAATATCAAAACCGTTATGGCCTACACTATTTTGAAAAAATAGACATAGTAGACAAATATAATAAAAAATGGAAAGCAAAAAAAAAAAAATAACAATTAAGATATTTGACAAATAAATAAAAGATAAAGTTTTTCCTTTGGCTATTCATTTATTCACTATGTTCACCTCATTTAGCGAGTGTATTACAGCGTCATCTCCTAAAGAAGCATAAATGGTGACAACAGTGATATTTTGACGGAAGCAGCCCTGAAATCAAGTAGCAAGTAAAAGCAACGTCATTCACTCATTCCTTTGAAACAACCAAGACCAAAAGGATGAGAAGTTGGGTAATCAAAACGAATATTTTCAGGGTCACCTGGAATGCAATCAACCATTCTGGCCGAGTATCGGCAAAAATGGCAGCACGGGTATCCACATCATGACCTAGTTTAACAATACCAGAAGCAAAGTTGCATGCACGATCAAATACTTGTCCATAAGTTTCCCACTGGTACTCACCCAAGTGAAGCTTTTCAAATTTCCTCCCATCGTTAGCTGTAACAAACTCCTTACTAGTTACTTTTCTCATCCCAATACACCTTTCCTGGGAATGTTTCTTACATGACTGCTCAAATAAAGCAGCCATAGTAGTGGCCCCTTCCCAAGGAACCTCAACTAATTTGACCGATCTAGCATTGCGCATTGCCAAACCAACCTCACCGCCAACTTGAACTGGAACTCCTCTCTGTTTTGATTTTCTTTTTCCCATTAGTATGGAAAGAAGTATGGGTATAGCTATGGCAACAATAACCGCACCAACTATGCCATATGATCCGTAAACTTTCAGAATTGAAGAGGAATTACTATCTCCCAGATTCTCATTCATGTTCGTGCTCAAAATTCTTCTCTCGGAGTCTCCCATCATATATTTCGTATACAATTATATTTTGATAACCACTGTTCCTCTGCAGAGAATGTTAATAAGATAACTAATTCACAAAACAAGAACTGGTAACATGAAGAAGGAATAAAATGCAGGCAACAGCAGAAAGTAAAACAGTAATTTACCATATGACGACCTAAATTACCTGCTATCTATTTACGTTAATATGTACCCCACACCAAGAGAAAACAACAAAAACATATGTGAAACAGAATTAGTATCACAAACGACACGAAATATGTAATCCAGTGTACATACCTGCACACAGCTTCATGGCTCATGAGCATTCAAATTATTTCTGAAGGCCCAAAAAGCCATACAGATTGTATAGGCTAATGAAAAAACAAGAACTTTACAATGACCTAGATTTAAAAGGCCATGTTGTCATAGAAATCCATCAATCTGGCTGCATATTTCTAATACTGATTACAAGCACCTTACCAATCTCTATAAATTTTAAGGTCCATCAACCATTTTCTTGGCATCATAAGTAATAACAGTGTCCGGGCACACACTTGTATGGTATTTTCTATGTCTTTCACTTTTCTACCAATTTTCCTGTTTTTTCCAGAGGCAGAAAGTTTAAAGAAGAATTCAACAACCTCGATAACTATAATATTGTAAACAGTTTACTGCCAAAAACAGAGGCACATCCAAAATTAAGATTACATAACAAACAGACTATTACAGTGCAGCTTTGTTACGAATCAAACACAATTTCCTCAGAAACTAAAAAAGGAAAGAGCTTAAGTTTATCACTACACGAACAGAACAGTTTAAAAACAAGCAGCGGTCTTACACCCATACCCTTTACACAAAATCAAATCAATTGTTTAACAAA